CTAAGTTATTCCATAAATCATCCTATTTCAATGATTTCATGAAAAAAAGAGAGTACACACATATATATTCAACTATTATATATGTCTCCAAACAAGTTTATACATACATTGGATCTGGGTTGTATATTAATAATGTTAATGTGTCAAGTATAAATATTTAAAATATACCAAAATTTTTGTAAGCCAGTTTAGGGAGAAATCTCATGATTGGAAGTGGGATGGGCCCTCTGGCCCTCAAAGAATTTCTGATAATGGGGATGGATGATGAAGAGAAGAGCATAACCAAGGGGCAGAGATGTGGGAACATAAAGCACGGCTGCGAGTTCTGTCTCTGGAGCTGGCAGCACACACTTAGAACCAGTACGAGCGACAGGCCCACAGATGAAGGCTGGTGCCAGACCGCAGACCTTGTATTTTATGCAGTGAGGAGTTACTGTAGTGAAAAAATAATGAGGGGGTGGGAGGGTTAAAAAAGGCAATTTTCAAATCGTATCTAATCCTAACCATACATGATAAGTAAGACAGAACCCTAACAATATGAAAATTTGTCTGTGGAAGAAAGTTCTAAACATGTCCTTAAAATCATATTACAGTCATATGAAGTTATCTAAATAAGGCCCTCTCTTCTAAAGAAAATATTCTACTTTGAATGCTTCTGTTTAATTTTTCTGCTTAAACAGCAAAGGAAAAATCTGAGTAATAGCAACATCAAGTCAGGCCCATGATATTAAACATTCAGAATGCAACAACAGTTTCAGTTACTGAAACTAAGATGAGCTGTCCTCATCTAGCAAAAATAGATGTTGGCAGAGGTTGAAAGCAAAGTAGGCCTAAGGCTGAAAGATGTAACCACAGTAGAATTTATGTAATAATATGGTTGCATCAACACAACAGCAGCAGTAGAGGGGCTTCGGGCACCAATCTGCTCCGTGGTCTCACCTTGATCCTAATGTTGGTGATTTGCAAGCTCTACTAATAGGCACAGGAATCATCAAAGGATCTTGTCAAAAAATGTAAATTTGAAATCAGAAGGAGTATGTGTGTTTGGGGGTACGGGGGGGATGTCAACCAAGACATTAAATGACAGAAACACAAAATCTCAGAAATAGAAGGGACATCATAGATCACCTCTCAGAAATCTTAACCTGGAGTCCACAGAAAAAACCTTTCATTTCCCTTGCAATCCTATGTATTTATTTTGTGCATTTAAAAATATTATTATGATCAGGTCAATAAGCTTTATCAGACTGCGGTAAGAATCGATGACACAAAAACTTTTAAGAATCTCTGATTTCAACCCTTATCTGATGCAATTGTTCACTCATTTATTTATCTCTTATTAAATTGTCAAGGACTGGGCCCTGGTGATCCAACATTCTGAATAAATTACCATCCAGGGACAGGAAACACAAGTAAACATGTCATATTACCTCAGGCTTTAGTTTTTTCTTCCAGAAAAAAAAACTGAGAGGCATAGAAATAGATGCTCTTTCCAAATGTAATATTATTCTATGATTCCATCACCTGAGCCATGGAGGAGGGGAAAAAGAGCTCAAGTGAAATTAATCAAAACTGAATTGGTTGATATAATAAATAAGTCAACAATATTTATGATCACCTGTTTAAGTTACCATTATTTTCATGCAACTTGAAGCAATTCAGCAATTTATTATGCAATCAAAACACCTTTGTATTTCTTTATATATATATATATTAGGAAATTACCCCATCTTAGAGGGGGGTAGGAGAAAAATAGAGCAAATTTTTTGAACCCTGTGATAGCTTTCTTTTAAGCATTTCTCATCACTCTTTAGATGGAAGGGTTCTGCTTTTCCTAATTTGTTTTCAATCAGTTATTTGTTTGGTGATGTTTCCATGAATCTTAAAATTTTCATCTGTTTCTTTAGGTGGCCTAATCAATAGTTAGAAATCAACATTTCCAATGCAAACAGTTCAATCCATGGATTGAAAACATTTGTGCATAATAGAGTGATTTTACACCTAATACACATAAAAAATGCTTTTGTATGCTTTACTTTGTTTAGTTTGAAATGAATTCACAGTCAATAATACCTACTTGGCCATGTTTTCTCTATTTTAAATTGTGTATTTCTCTTAAGCCGCTTTGCTAAAGCCTTTCTCTAAAAGAAAACAAAATTTCCCATATGGGCAAAAGAATTTCTTCCCTTTTGGATATCCTGAAAAGAGGATTAAGATATCCCTTTATAACAGAATATAAAACAGCAAAAATGAGAAAAGGCATTGTTTGGGTGAGGACTTTATAACCATTTTTAGAGATAAGATCCTTTATTCCTTGGAAATCATGCCCCAATGCCCAACACAAAGCAGACAAGGGGGGAGTGGGCCCCGGTGGAGCCTGGGGCGCCAGGTGCTGGCCACGGTGCTCTCGCCCATCCATAAGGCAGCTCCTCGGAGGACAGGGTGAAAGTTCGTCCTTTAATCAGTTTTAATCAATTTAGCATTACAGTAGTTGTAAGCTTTATTAGTATACCCAATGCACAATTAAACAGTTTAACCTTAGCTTACCCATCACTGTTAGTGAAGGAAAAATAGCTCACTGGTCAATAGACAGCAATGACTGAGGAGCTATAAAGTCAATGACTGAAAATGTTTATTTTTTAGTGGTTAGTTTTATCTAATTTATTTTCAGACACATTTTTTAATTTATTTATTTTTAACCATACCGGCGTCTTCTCAGAACACAAACCTTGCTTTCAAATGATACAGTTTCTTTTGTTTTTGGAGACAGAGTCTTGCTCTGTTGCCCCGGGTAGAGTGCAGTGGCGTCATTATAGCTCACTACAACCTCAAACTCCTGGGCTCAGGCAATCCTCCTGCTTCAGCCTCCCAAGTAGCTAGGACTACAGGCACACACCATCATGCCTGGCTAATTTTTTCTATTTTTGGTAGAGACAGGGTCTTGCTCTTGCTAGTCTGGTCTTGAACTCCTGACCTCATGCAATCCTCCTGCCTCAGCTTCCCAGAGAGCTAGGATTACAGGTGTGAGCCACCACACCCAGCCCAAAAGATAGATCTTCATTTAAGATCATCTATAATATTCCCTTCACTCTTTTTTCCCCACCTTTCTCTTCCTTTGGTTAAATACCTGTAGTTTCTTTAACTATTCTTCATAGGCACACATCTCCCAGGTGAATAATGACAGTAACTTACTAAGCAATTTTGATGTGCTGTTCTCAGAGCTAAGAGCTTTGCTGGATTTAAGCAGTTAATCCCCATAACACCCCTATGGGTTAAGTTCTTTATTTTCCCCTGTACTGCAAATGAAGAAACTGAGGGTTTCCAAAGGTTACCTATTAGCCTAGGCTCATACTTGCCAGGCTGTGTACTAATGAATGAATATATGTACAACCCATCTTTAGTTATTCAGGGCTTAGTACATAGATTATTCCAGCTGCCTTTGTCTATTCCAAAGTCCTTTTACTACCTTACTTCTTGATCTTTCATTTTCTCTAGATTCTTTTTACCTAGTCCACTACATAAGTCCTTGAATCCATACCATAGTACTCTATATACCCACTACTAGTCAACCACGGTGGGAATGTTAAATAATAACTAACCATCCCTATAACCCGTAAGAACTTCCTTCAACATCTCCAACATAAACTGGGACATGTATTTACTGTCCTAGAGTACTCTCATACAGCCCAATATGTGTTTGGTTTGTTTTTTTCCACTAATGCTTGGAGGGCAGAAACCATGTGTCATGTGTCCTTGGTCTTTCCCGTTATTTCTACTACATATTAAGTCCACATATATGAACAATAAAAACAAAGACTTCATTACAAAATGAAAGTGAAATTTTAACAACCTGGTTACATAGAGCTCTTTTGTAGTTCTATATAAAATGTTATCAGGAAAGAGAACTTAAATAATTGGCTAAAATGTAGTTTGGAAATTATCTGTGAATTTTAATTAATCATGAGGTTTCTTTCCTTCCATAGGAGATTAGCCTCATGACCATTATTACCATTGCTTTCATTTGTACAGTGCCTTTTAATTCAAAGTATATTGAAATTCATTATATCATGGCTTCCTCATGATAACCTTGGCACTACATATTATTATTAGCGTCAATTCATTTTACAAAGGAGGAAGCCAGAGTTCAGAGAATCACATGACTTGCTCAGGTAGGCTACTGTCGAGTTGATATAGAAGTCCTGGCCTCATGAGGTGAATTTTCTATTCCTTCAGTGTATAATGATGCCATCCTGTCAAAGAAACTCTGATACATAGTGGAAAGTACAAGCTATACAACAACAATAACAACAAAATGTATAGTTATATCAAAATCAAAATAAGGTATGTGTAGAATTTATATTTTGAAAAGTGTGCACAAGTTAGTTCTACTGCTATTGGTTTCCAACTGCAATTCAAAATGCACAACATCACCTTAACCCACAAAACACACTGCACATAGCAAAGGCTTAATAAATGCTTATTTTATCAGCTGTATAACTATATTGTCCTAGAAATTTTCATGATAACTATTTCCACCTACAGGGACAAAAGTAGAGAAATGCTTCAGGCCTCCTTATAGCCAACATTGGGTGCCCCATTTAATTTAATAGTTCCTGTCAGTTACATGAGGCATCCTTACACAACTTCACTGTCTTCATCAGTGCCTCTTTCCAAAAAGCAAGTGAAAGAAAATTGTTATTCCTAGAGATGTTTTAAATATGGAACTAAATGTATTGGTAAACCAAAACTGACTTACAACATCAACAAACTCACCGTATTTCAAGTTTATAGAACAAAGTGGTACCAGACTCTTACTTTATCCTAAACCAGCACAAATAACATTTGATTTACAGCAGTGGTAACGACCCTTCTATAATCCAATATGTGCTTAACTGCCACATGCTCTATTTCTGATTTTTGTTTCAATCATCATTCACTATGATGCCTGAGATTTTTTATGTGAGTATTCATATAAAGTCTATAATGTTCCATTTTATATTTTTTTTAATTACTTTTACAACCTTAAAGTTAAAAGAATATTTTGTCTTGGAATCCTTTACAATCTTTTAATCTTCTCCAAACTTCTGTATAGGATTATTTTTTAGCAAAACTGTAACTTACTAAATATGTGAAATTAAACACATTGGCCCACCACAAAAGTAGTGAAATACATGCAATGATTAGACATAAACTTCTTTCTTCATTCTCCCATTTCCAGTCCTTACCCTTTGAAATAATTCAATGTCAATGATACACCTAAACTGTTTTTTATTTTTGTCTGATTCTCCTATCTTAACATGGCATGTGTTTCTTATGTAATAATTTGCTTTCATAAATATCAAAATAGGTAATCACCTCATTAATACAGTCTTTAAATCAGGCACAAAATAAGGCCATGAAATTTTGAATTCCTGATTATACTGCATTTATACTCTATTAATAAAATAATTCAAGAAAAGGCACTATCACTATCACAAACATGCACATCAAGGTCACGAGGGAAGCCTGCACGCACACACCTGGTAAGCCGCATTTCCACTCAGGTCACATTATTTCCTATTTAGGAACTTATTTATAATTCCTCTAATAGAAATTCATGCTTGTTTATAAGCAATTTTCCTAGATAATCTGCAGTATAAACCTTAAAGAGACCATTTATTGACCTGTCATTTATCACAACACCAAGCGCATGATCCCGCTTTCCACACTTACCAAGTACCTCTCAGAGGACACGCTAACTAAGATGAGGTCATCTCCGACTCGTACTTTTTCTCCTTCCGATCGCTGCTTCGAGGCAGGGTGTATGGTCCACCAACAAGCCTCACCTGCAGAGAGATGAAACATAATGAAGTGCCTCTTAATTAAAATCTATGTGTTCTGCCAGTTCCTCCATTCACACAACTTTCAGAAATTTGAAATTTAATGCAAATTAATCTCTTAGACCATAAAAATCAAAAGAATTAAACCCAATTAGCTCAGGAGAAGGCATACTGAAAGGCAAAGATTCTTCCCATGGAAACTGGGTGTGACATTTTGGAAAGGCTGACATCTTTTTCCCCCACTAAGAACTGCTTATAAATAAAAAGGATATTTATTTATACTCACATAAGACTAAATTCACCGCTCATACTGATCTGATTTCATTCTTTATACAATCATGTTATTACACCGTTCACATTGCTCTCTGTAAAAACATCTAGTTGGTTGCCACTTAATTTTCATAAGGACTTGGGGTTTTGTGATGTTACAGCTGTATTATAACAATTTTTAAAAAAATCTGGCCAGGTACAGTGGCTCATGCCTGTAATCCCAGCACTTAGGGAGGCTAAGGTGGGAGGATCACTTGAGGCCAGGAGTTCAAGGTTGCAGTGAGCTATGATCACACCACTGTACTCCAGCCTGGGCAACAGAGTGAGACGTCATCTCTAAAAAATGAAGAAAAAACTCTCAGTACTTTTTGGGGATGCTGATTCAAAAAAGGACACAAAGTGTTGTCATCTAAAATTTTACTATCCTGTCCCTTTTTTAACCTTGTTTTATTTTGTTATTTTAAATTGTGGTGGTTTCTATCAATCTAAGGATAAGATCTTGGACAATCTTATTATAGAAGGATCCATTATAAAAGACGTGGGTATTTGTTAAATCGAGTAATTTCTTCCAGGACAAGTCAAGCATAACCCTCAGGAACTATGCATCCATTCTTCACTCTGCAGTCCTGTTACCCAAGATACAAGCTTAAGCAAATACTTCTTCAATCTGTTCATAGTTCCTTGTAAAACCTAAATGTAACTTCTACCCAGAAATGAGAATAATGTTTTAGTTATATCTGTCATCTAGTATTTATCATTCTCTCTCTTTACTCAGCTTTATTATTTTTCCACAACACTTTTTTTCTTAACTATTAATCAATTTCCCAATGCCAGAATGTAAGTTCCATAAAAGTGGGAACTTTGTATGTTTTCTTCACTGTGGTTTCCCCATCTCCTACTAGCATATTGTCGGCACTCAATAAAAATTCATTCTGCATGAATGAGAAAATGAATCATCAAATAATATTCCTTTAGCATTTTTATAGTTAGTATGTGATCTGTGCCTTGAGCTGCTTTTCTTATACAAACCATAGTCTTACTTGAATGTCATCTGGTAGAATTCTTTATCTTCATTCACCCAATTCACATTTTTACTAGTGTAGGTAATTGTTCATTCATTCACTCAACATTTAGAGTGCTCCCCATATTGGCCAATCATTGCTTTATGGGCTGGGGATACCCCAATAAACAAGGAAGAAAAAATTATCTGTCTTGTGAGTTTAATTCTGATGAAGGTAAAAATGACAGGTAAAATAAATAATTGAGTAATTCAGGAGAAGTAGAGAACTACAAGAAAAAACAGAGTAGCATAAGGGAATCAGGATGTAGGGTGAAGGACTGACTTGTTTTGCTGTTTTGACCATCATATAATCATCTCAGTGCATGAAAACAAGTTCTAGATCATGTCTGTCTTCTACTTCTTTTGAAGAGAGAACTGAAGTACTGAGGACTTTCTCATCTAACCGTGTGCTGAAATGCATTAATTACAATAAGAAAAGTGAAAAACTAGCAAAAATATAAAGGAATAACTGAGCCTATATAAAATTAAATAAAAATCAGAATAATACATTTATCTTTTTGGTGCCTGGGAGTCTCGGGATTTTTTTGTACAAGATGATGTGTTTGTCTATCAAAAAATTAATTAGGTTGGGTAAATATAGCTTTATTTATTTTTATTCATTTGTTGATTGTGAAAAGCGTAGAGAATATGGGAAAGCATCTTAAACAGAGAGACGGAGGTGAGAGGATAGCTTAATCTCATCCCTGAAAGGACCAACTTAATAAAAGTTAAACTATTTCCTTCCATTCTTTTTTCTACTTGGTCTTTATTTTTAATTCCAAAGTCACACATTCTCACTGTAAAGGATGAAAATGGTAAAATTCTACAGAGGTATATAAAGTCAATGTAAAGTCCTCAGAGCACTGAGAATAAGAACTAAAGCCTGTGTTCTCCTATTTTGAGTCTCCAAAAGGAAAATGTGTTAATATATACATTTTTGTTTCAAAAATATGGAAATGCATTTGGGCAGAGAAATGAAGGAGACTTTCATTTTGGGCCTTTTTATTTGAATGTTGACATTGAGTATGTTACATTTTTAGACTTAAAAGTATTTTTAAGATGAAAGAGACATACAGTATTACTTCATAAGCTAATCAGTGCACATTAATATGGTTAGCACCCAGCAAATCGTGTAGTAAGTACTGTTTTTCTATCCAAACCCACAAGAAGAATAAGGTTTGAAGCCTAATTTCAACTCCCAACTAATTATATGGGAATAACCAATAGTAATAAACACTTCTTCCTTTTACCAAAAACTTTCATTTGAAAGTCATTCCTTCTTCTCCTGACTCCATCCATAAGAACATCCACCTCATGCATCATGTCCCCTGACTCCTTCCAGTCCAGTCCCTGCGAGGCTCTCTGCAAACGCAGCGTCATCACAGCTCCAGGTGCTCACCTGTAGTGTCCTCTTGCAAGCCAACATCAAAAGCCAGTTTATCGGTTGAAGACCGGGAGGTGGACAGGCAGCATAGATACTAAAAAACACAGAATCAGTGGTTGTCACTAACTTCTCATGTCATGACAGAGTCTTATTCTGACATGTAATTTGGTACCCTTCTACCTATGCTATAATCAGTCTTTTCTTAAAAATCGGAATGTTTCTGTGAAAAGCCCAGACTTTTAAATGTCTGTGGAGCAAAACAGCACTTACACAGCACGAAGAGCAATGTTCTAAAGGAAATGTGGTCTTTTTTCCTTCGTGGAAGACTAAGGAAATGTGCTCTGTCAGTACGAGTAGACAAGTAACTGGGGATGTGTTTGTACATCTCTCACTTCATGTGATATTACAATCATCAGCAAAAGTACAACGTAATCTGACAGTTAGAAATCTTTCTCCCAAATAGAAATTTGAAAACTATTCACTTTGATCTTTCAGTTTTGTTCTCACTTTAAAATTTTTAACTCCTTGAAATCCATCCAGAATCGACTTTGGGGTGCAGCATGTCACGTCACTACAGTGGAGCTTTATCATGTGTGTACATGTGTGTATGTTTCCCTAAGAGTAATCAAATTCTCACACCACTACCATCGCCCTACTCTTCCCACCCTTAGGTTTTCCTAACTATATATTATTGGACCTAAAGCTTAGAATTATTTTTCAGGCCAATTCCCTTATCCCCACCCCATCTTCAAAAACTTTGCTAAGCGTTGCAAGAATGAAGACACCAAGATCAATGTAGTGGGAGCTCAAAACACCCTACCATCTTCACCAAGCAAGTGCACTGCCAGCAAGCACAGGAACACTGCGGAGGGTCCCCAGAGACAACTCTGGGGACTGAGCAAGCCCAGACTCTACCCGCTCTAGAATCACTGGACAACTAATGCAATCAGTGGAAATTTCTTACTGTAGCATAGAGCCCATCCAGGTGAGTGGGTGTCATGAGTGTGACAAGACAGGAGATGATCCAATCAGGGGCGGATGTGCTGGCATGGTAGGTGGAAATCAGTGCCAGGGGTTATGAAATGAAATTGATCTGAGGACTCTGGTTCTGTCTCTTGACTACAAAGCACTGGCCCCCAAGGTTATAGGAAAGAGGCTTCAAGGGTCCCCAAAACTGCTTTTAGCCAGTGCAGGAGTGTGACTCTGACCTCAGAACAGCTAGCCTATGATGGCTCCTGAGGTTTATAGACTGGATCTAAACTGCGTTAAATATGTGCCTTTGTTTGAGAAAAAGTAATAACTTTACAATACTCAGATTCCCAGGCAAAAACATAAGGTGATTCCTATTAAAGTCTACTGTAATATTTCTCAATACTGTTACAGAACTAGACACTGCAATTATTAACACACACTTTCTCCTTTAATATTCACAGCAATTCTGAGGTAGATACTGTAATTATTCCACTAAATGTTAATTGAATCCCATGAGGGCAACAGCTTGGTCGTATTCATTATTACATCCAGCCTGTAAAACAGTGCACAGCACACGTAGATGCTAAATCGTATTTATTGAATGAATGGATGAAATTTCCACATGCAATTATAGGCTTAAAGAGATTCAGCAAAGTATTCCAGCACGCGACAAAGTGAGACTGAACCCAGATCTAACAACCAAGTTCAGGCTCTTAACCCACCTATTAAGTATAGAGAGTAGTTTCCTTAAAACAGAACCTCACATTTATCATTTCAGCAGTTTATGTGTTTTGATTGCCATGGAAAAGGGAATTTCTTTCCAAGAAATTTTAATGTGTGTTGCTCTATACAAACAAGTTGTTTTCACATATTTGTCTTGTATCCAGCCACTTTATTAAACTGCTTTATTTCATATCTTGCCATGTCATGCAAAACTTCCAGAACCATGTTACATAGCAATGACACAAAACATATATTCTTTTATTTGTTTATTTTAGTTTAGTTAATTTTATCAGGATTGGCTTCAGTGTTTCGCAATTATGATGTTGGCCATTGATTTGACATTGATATTCTTTATCATGGAGAAAATAATCATTGATACTTAGTTTTACTAGGAATTAGTGCTGAGTTTTATTAAAGATCTTTTTAAGCACTTGCCAAGATGATCAACAATTTTTCTCATTTGACCTATTTGTGATAAAACACATTAATAGATATGATAATTTTAAATCATCATTAAAATCATGCTTATACTTTTCCTATACTTCTCTTCCTATACTTTTGAATTCTTTTAAACTGACAGTTAAAATCAGATTGTCACATCAATATATATGCTTGAGATCAACAATTTGTATGCTCTTGTTGGATATTGGTATTGAGGCTATACTTATTCTCCTGCTCTAGAAAAATTTACATAATAAATTTAGAATTATCTTTTAAAAATGAATGACTAGTTATAATTATACTTCCAGAAATTCGAATAGTGTATAGCCACTAAAATTATGTTGATGAACAATTTACATAACATGAAAAATGCTTATGTTATAATATATTTTGAAAGTCAGGATATAAATCTGGTTATGTACTAAGATCTCAGTTACATAAAAAAAATTTGAAGAACAGAACAGATTGAATTTCTTTTTTAAAGCCTCCAACAGTTTTCTCTTATTAGTATAATCAAATAATTTTTTATTCTTTTACATTCAAACCTCTTAGAACAAATACATATTGCTTTTATAATTTAATAAAGCTTTTAAAAGAGTGGAATGAAACTTTTATGTATTTTTACGTATTTTATATGCAGTTGCCCCTTAAACAATATGGATTTGAACTGCATGGGTCCAATTATACAGATTTTCTTCTGCCTCTGCCACCCCTGAGACAGCAAGACTTACCCTTCCTCATCCTCATCCTCCTCAGCCTACACAGTATAAAGATGACAAGGATGAAGACCTTTATAATTATCCCCCTAATGAACAGAAATATATTTTCTCCTCCTTATGATTTTCTTAATAATATTTTCTTTTCTCTAGCTTACCTTATGTAATACAGTATATAATACATATAACATACAAAATATACGCTAATCAACTGCTTCTTATGTTATCAGTAAGGCTTCCAGTCAACAGTAGGCTATTAGTAGTTAAGTTCTGGTAGAGTTAAAAGTTATACATGATCTTCAACTGTGTGGGAAGTTGGCATCCCTAACCCCCACATTGCTCAAGGGTCAACTGCATATATAATACGTAAAAATATAATAACGTATCTATAAGATATATAAAAACACATATATGGGGTTTTTTAAAAATATATAGGAGGTAAAAACTGAGAAAACTCTGCGTGAGGGAAGTCCGGTGGATAACTGGGTGAAAGAAGGAACCGACGTGAAGAAAGAAAGAGAACACCTCATTAAGAAAGAAAAGAAGTTAGTGAGTAGAATTGACATTGGAGTTCATAGGTAGAGTTTTAAATCTTATCTTTTAGTAAAGATACTTTAATGCTCCAATAAATGAACCATTTAAAACAAAATCAGAAAAGAGAAATAATTCTTATTTGACTTATATCTCTCTCCTCCTAAAACCACTTTATCAAAAGTTAAGATATTAAAAATAGGAGTCATATCATGACAGAACGGAAGGACTTTAAAGGTCATCTAAGCTGTCATCTTACAAATGAGAAGACTAAACAGGGCACAAATATATTACATCCAAGTTCATTAAAACCATTGCTGAAACGATGCCAGCGTTTCCTGCCTATCTCCCAATGTATCGGCATGACCACATGAGCGATGACATCCCAGTGTCTACTCACCATGCCACTGTAGGAGTGGCGCAGCAATATGGCATGTCCATAGAGGAGTGTTCGATGACCACCACCTTGAGCAGTCTGTATGGAGAAGAGAAAGGAAGGAGAGAGAAGAAAAAAACACAAAGAGTAACTTAACTGAGTCAATAAAATGCTGTCTTGCTCTCAAGGGAAAGTTTAGCGGGAAAGTACACAGCAAGAGCTACTGCACACAAACACAGTGCTGTGGAAATAATACTTAAATGGTAATAAAACTACCAAGAAAACCTCCACTGTGGGATTAGCATTTGATCTAGTTCTTGGAGAATAAACTTGATTTTAGCCAAGAATTATGACAACTTAGCATGCCTATGAATCACCTAGAGGGCTTGTTAACAGACAGATTTCTGGGCCTGACTGATGAGATTTTGATTCAGTGGGTCTGGAGCAGATATAAAGAAGTTTCATTTCGAAAATTTCCCAGGGGATGCCGACGCTATTAGTCCAGGGACCACACTTTGAGAAGTACAAGCACAGAGACATTTAGTCTCAATGCTTTCTAGCCTCATCTCCCTATGCTCTAAACACACAAACACTTTTCCTTCCCTGAGTACACCATACTGCTTTCAGGCAGCCCAGTCCTGGAATAATGTTCCCTCTCTCTGTAGTCTTTTCTGCTTTATAAACTATGTTTTAAAACTGAGGTAAAAGGCTTCCTCCTCTATGAACTCTCATCAGGTTTCCTCAAAACTAGCCACTCCCTACGTCCTCCTACAGCCAGAGGTTTGCACCTGTACGTACATCGTCTTTTCACTCTACACTACAAGAGCCTTTCTCTCCTTGACCAGACTGAGAACTCCTCAAAGACAATGACCTTGTCTTGATTATCATTTTACCCCCAGCTCTGAGCTCAAGGTCAGACCATAGTAAGCACTCAATAAACATTTGTTGAATGAAAAACCAGACATGGGGGAGCCCATCTCAGGCTGAGTGACAAGTATGCATAAAGGTATTGTGCTATATAACTGCGAGGTATTTAAGAATGAGGAAGGGATCATGGGATTGTAGTTTTGGGTTGCAAAAAGAAATTAGAGGAATTATAATTACAGGAATTATAAAATTAGATCAAGGAAAGATCTTGGAAGGTATAGAATGGTATGCCAACGAGTTTACACTTCCTTTTGAAGGAGAAGGAGGTCTTTAAAACTCTTAAGGATAAGAGTGATGATACTGACCTATACCTTAAGAAGTGTGGAAGAAAGTTCTTTAATATCCAATAGTAGTATACTCTTTTTTCTAAAATTATACCACCTCCCTATTGCTCCATATAATTTCTTAAGATAACTTTATTTATATGTTATACTTGAAAGGACTCAGAACCATTCTGTAAACAGATATTAAAATGATAAGAAAAACTTTTTAAAACCATTTTTCATGTACTGAAGAGGAAAGGGAAAAATCTACTTGGAAAAATTATATTTTTCCACAGAATGAGCCTCCCCTTAGAGAGTACTTATTTTTTCTATAACACATTTGATTTATTGTGGCCAAGAACAATTTTATTTACTTTGCCTGGTTTGAATTACTATAATAGAAGCTCACCTTTCCATACCAGATTTAAGTTCCAAAGCTATAAAATCCAACTGAACTTTAATAACACTTGACAGTCACACCAACCAAAACAAGATTTTTTAAAAAGTGAAGGACAAGGCCTTGAATTTATGCAAAAGGCACACCTTTTAGAGTAAAGTTTTTCCTACACATTTTATTTATATTTATGTAAATATCTGCACACACACATACACGTATATATACAAAACTAAGGACGTTTACACACACATGAAAATTACTGTCTCTACGTTTTGTTCTTTCTTGTTTGGTTGTTTCTGGCTCTTTTTAAAATACAATCAGCCCTCTGTATCCACAGATTTTGCATCTATGGATTCAACCAACTTTGGGTGGAATATATTTGGGGGAAAAAAAACAATAAAAATAACAATACAATTATACCATAATAAAATAATTCAAGAACAATATAGGATAACAGCTATTTACATAGCATTTACATTGTATTAGGTATTATAAATAATCTAGAGATGATTTAAAGCATATAGAAGGATGTGTGCAGGTTATATGCAAATACGGCCATATTTTTATATAACAGACTTGAACGTCCATGGATTCTGGTATCCATGGGAGGTCCTAGAACCAATCCCCCAGAGATATGAGGGATAACTGTGTATGTTTACAACATATATTTGCTTATTAACATGTTTTTTGTATTACTGTTGATTAAAGCCATTTAATTAACTAAATATATAGTATCTAAATATTTTAAGATTTTCTGTTTTCCTAATCATCTTTTCTGCACAAAAATGCTATATTAATCAACATAGGACACTTCCTATAATTCTAGGATCTTATTATATAAGAGATTTTTAAAAAATAAACCAGACTCTACAGGAGAATTTTTCTATATCCCTTGACTGTTACAATATGCCGTTTTAGAAGTTACACAATGGAATAACTTGTAGTTAATATATTCTTGACTGCTTAAAGAGGGTGACTTCTAACTCTGCCTAGGGCATGCATTTTTCTGGGTTAGTTACTTAGAAAGAAA